CAGCAGAAATCCGATCATCATGCCCGGTGGGCCCAAGACGAGTACTCAAGGCTGGGCTACATGGGCTAGCACAGGGGCCAGGAAAAGAGTGGACACAGGGAGAGGCCCAAGGACCTCGGACACTCACCGTGCTGTATGTCCTTCCACAGGACCCAGTATTTGGAATTATCTTCAAAAGTGACAAGGCAGCTTTGCTTAGGACTGCTGACCTGAGACAGGAGAGGGGCAGCATGAAGGAACAGCCGGGAGGGGCGGGTCTTCCTCCAAATCCTGTGCTTTGTGCTTCTGAAGACAGGGAGGCCAGGAGAGACGGGCACTGTTCTCCCCACCGTGGAGTAGGGAGACACAGGGACAGGGTGACAGCTGCATGGGCATGTTTTTAAGAGCAGAAGGGCAGGCTAGTGTGCCACTCTTGCCCACCTAGTCTGGTGGTTTGCTTAAGTTCTCTAGAAAACCTGCTGGGACATGCTGGCTCCTGAGGACGGAGCCTGCCAAGCCAGGCTCTGGTTCCTTCCGCTCTCAGCTTCCAGGCACGAGGGACCAGGAATGGACGGAAAGGCCCTGACCTGGGCCCGCGGCAGGGAAGACTCACCCTCTTGATCTTGCCGAGGTAGTACAGCCCGTCCGTCCACCGGCACAGCACATACTGCCCCTCTGTCAGTTTGGACATCAAGTCTTTGAAGTTCTTTTTGGTTTTAGACAGGGTCCCCTTGCTAGGGAGGTGACTGGCGGCGCCATAGGCTTCCCGAGTCCCTGGTTCCAGAGCTTGAGTCTCCATCAGTTTCTGCCGACACCAGGAGAGAAAGAAGAATCCCACTACCTGTCCTAGGAGGTGAAGGTCTTGTCCTGGATGCAAACCCTCTGTGGGCTCAGCTCTGAGGGAGCAAGCACTTAAGACTTCAAGTCTCCCCTGAATGTGTTCAGAGAAAAGCCCACCTGGCAGTGAAAACTTTTGGCGTAGCTTGGGAACAGGTGTGACAAAGCCATGTGCCTTTTGTAAACACCCCCCCATCTCTGTTCTCAACTATTTGATGATTTCATGGACATTTAAACCTGCCCATGCTTTCATCCACATGTACAGTGGCCATACCAGCCCAACACATCAGAAGACTTCTCCAGCCAGCAGGCTGCCACAACAGCTTCTGGTCCAGTGGCCTGAGCATCCCTGCCAAGTGTCCTGCCCTCTCTCCCAGCATGCCCTGCTTTCAGTTCTGCCCTCATCTTTTTTCATCCATTAATTCATTCACCTTTTCCAAGCCTATTTCTTGAGCCTGCTGCTTCCTACTGCCTGGCACCTGGAGTGAGGAGTCCCTAGGTCACCCTGGCTTCCCCATCCTGAATCTTTCAGAAAACTTGTGGTTCCCCAAACCTTAACTGGTGTTCAGCCTTATTGCCTTCTCCTCTCTGTGGGCTCACCTGGCACCATACCCCACCATACACACTCTCTTCGGGTCAAACTCGGCTTCCCTATGTTGCACTCCGTGGGGACGGTGGGGGCGGTCCTGCTCTGATTCCCTCCCTGCCTAGGTGCTGGGAACCTGGTGCCTGGCCTGCTGACAGAAAGACAGCTCTGGGTGTGTTTTCATGTGAGTGCCTCTTCAGAGACTGCAAGGACACTGTCTGTGGCAATGTGCCAGTCTGTATGTGAGACTAAGTACACGTGTGCGCGTGAGGGGCCCTGGGGCAGTGGAGTCAGGGTATTGGCTGTCCAGATAGCGGGTGTCTACCTTCTTCTACTATCTCCTTCCTGTCTTTTACTCCTGAGCAGAGGCACAAGCACCAGGTAGGGGCTGTAGTCAGAACTCTTGCCCTCTTCCTTGGCACTTGGCTCTTAGGGCGCTGGGAGGTCCCTACTTGCTCTGGCTGGAACGGGACCGGCGGGACCGGCCTCGGCAGGTTCACAAACTGACATTTCCTCCCCCGCTGAGCTTTTGGGGGCAGGCCGGGTCGGTGCGCCCCCGAGGCCGGGCTGGGCCCCCGGGTAGCGGCCCCCCCACCCCGCCTCCATCCTCCTGGAGCGGGCCCCCGCGGGCTGTGATTGGCTGATTCAAACCCATCGCCACAGAAATGCTTGTTTGCGGGTTCCCGTCGGCGTCCAGTTCAAATCCGCGGCACTGGGCGCGCGGGGCCGGGCGGGGGCAGGAAGCGCGGATGATTCATGCGCCGAGGCCGCTCCGGGGCGGCCGTTGGCTTTTTAAAAGGGTGTTGGGGAGGGGGGGGGAACAGCTTGCAGCAGTGTCCCTTCGGCTTCAGGCACTCCTTTCCTCAGTTGCTCCAATTGCAAACTTTCCCCGCTCCCAGCCCGTCACAGCCTGACTTTGGACGTGAGCAAAATCCCAAATGCCCTCCTATCCTCCCCTCCACAGCTTCATATGGAAAAGAAAAGACTCGCGGCCACAAACGGAGACCTGTCACCCACACCCTGCGGTGGGCTGGGGATGTGGCTGGGATTCTCGCTGCCCTGAGGGTACCGCTCGCTCTCCATCTCGGTTCCCATCCCACAAGCGCGCAGCTCCACAGGAGTCCACCCCCGCCCGGGGATTGAAGGACTCAACCTAGTACTGAGAGGTTTCTAGAAGAGGGGTCGTGTGCAGGGATTGAAGCGTGAAACGCGGAGTCTCCCGGGGCACCCGCGGCGCGGGACTTACCGCGAGGCAGCGCGTTCGCCGGTCCCACTTGGAGTCTGGCCACCAGGCACATCGGCGGCGGTGGTGCGCTCGGCCCGCGGCTGCCCGGCGGAGTGTCCGCCCGTGGGGCCG